ACGTGTGCTCTTCCGATCTTGGCGAAAAGAGGCTTCAACGCAGGTAACACGGCAATTTTAAGATAGGATTAATAAATAGATATTGATAGATACAAAAAAAATGTGTGCACCCACATGTTCATGCGCGATATATTTCACATATTCTTTTAAGCTTCCAATGTATTTTATGTTCATATTTTTAAAAAAATTAATTGAGATATGAATATACTTAATTAATCTCGAAATTTGGCGGAATTTGTTTGCGTTTCTATAAAAATATGAAACATGTTATTAATTAATACTAATAATACAGGATCGTGTCAGAAACGAAATCGATATTGCTATAAAAGAGAATGGGGAGAAATTTACTATAAAATTATTGCAACAGCTACCATATTTAGAGAAATGTATAAAAGAAGGATTGCGCTTATATCCCAGTGTTTATTTTATATCACGCGTTACTGCAGAAGATGTAAAATTACGTACGTATCAAATTAAATATTTTTTTACTTTTTTTATTATTTAAATTTTAATAAAATTACTTAATGTGTCAACAAATGTTAGAGCTAAATGTGAATAAGATGTGAGATTTTAAAGATTCTATAATTTTTATATTTTTATTTATTTTATTTCTAACATTTATTTATATTATTTTTTAAAATCTTTATATACACACCTACATGCAATAAAATATTCATTATTTTTTAAAAATATTATTGTGCAATAAATTGAAACTATTTATCTTCAGTTTTTTCTTATTACACAAAGTATGTGCGTCTATGCCGTGTTAAATTACAATTAGATATCCAAGCTTAAAATTCTCATAAAACTTTTATAATTATTATTACTAAACCTCGTTTTATAACATACTTTTAGAATCATATGTAGTACCTGCTGGAACACTTTTGTTTATGTTTTTCAACAAAGTCAACAGAGACCCGAATTTTTGGCCAAATCCAGATGTATTTGATCCAGATAGATTTTTGCCCGAGAAGATCCGAAATCGTCACCCTTACTCGTATTTACCATTTAGCGCTGGACCACGTAACTGCATCGGTATGCTATAGCTTCTTTATACTTTATTATATAAACTGATTGTGATATATTTAATATTATATTTACAGGCCAACGATTTGCTATGCTGGAAATGAAGGCGATGATAGCCTCTCTGATACACGATTTCTACTTGGAGCCTGTTGACTATTTAAAAGATCTTTCATTGCGAGCGGATATAATACTTCGTTTTGCTCCGCCATTTCGTTTAAAATTTGTTCCTATTCGTAAAATTAATAAATGTCTTTGAATCGCAAATACCGATTTAGTAATTAAGTAGGAAGTAGGAATTAAGTAGAAGATATATACATCATTAAAATAAAGATGTTTACATATTATTACACCCAATAAAATATAAATTTTTTTGAATTGTTAAAATGTGTTCAACCATTTAATACATAATACTAACTTGTAAAACATAACAAGATAATGTAATGCAAAAAGATTATTGTGGAAAAAGTTATGCTGTTTATGTCCTGTATTAAATATATACACTATGGAATATGATTATATGTTAATATTGTATCAAACTAAAAATATGTAACGGTGCACCCAAGAATGCACCGTTCCTCGACGTACACCAGTCGGGAAGCCGGTTGAATTTCAGTCACCGGGAGGCGCAACTCCAGTTGCGCCCAAGGGCGCGGTGCGCCCCTTTATATTTTTTAAAAGGAAGCGAGCGCTCTCACACAACGCGAATCCCCGAGTCGGCCACCGGCCGACAACGGAAACCGCCGACAACCGCCGAGGACGACCGGAACGGGCACGCGTGCATCTGGCGCCGCGCGTACTCTGTCAGACACGCGTGCTTATATTTTACGCCACGGGATAGCGCTCGGGATTTAGTTTAAACAAAGCGTTTGTTAATAAAAAAGAGCCACGGGCTAGCGCTCTCCGCCGACGGACGGGTATAAAAGGGGCTCGACGCGACGTAGAGAGACAGATCTTGCTGAGCAACCGAGCTTGCCACATCGCATTTGAAGTTCGCATTTCAACCCCGATACCGCGCTTCACGACACCAGGAGGTAGAAAGCTTTCTACCTCCGTCGGCCGCTGCCGCCAGTCCGACAAGCAATCCGCTCCTTCGAGCAAAAGAGGTGGGAAGCTCCTCACCTCGACCAGCCGCTGCTGGCCACGCTTATTCCTCGACGGAACAACTGATCGGGTACAAGCCGCTGCTTGTTCCTGCCGACCACCGTCGGCGCAGGCGTTGCGTCTACACGTTAAGTCCGCTTCCACGACATATCGTTTCACGCCGATCCGCTGCTACTAGGACTAAGGCGCTCCTTAATCCTATAACCGACCGCAGCCGAAGGAAACCGGGTTATACCGTCAGATAAATACGAGCATATATTTATCCGCGTGCTCGCTCTTCGGGAAGCGGTTCGAAAGCTATCGCCGAACACCGCGCACCACGACGGACTCAAACGGAGAGCAATATATCCACGCACGCGCATTGCATTGCTCAGAATGTAATCTTACACTATTGTAAATTCGATCATCTCATATTATAATAAATTTCTCATATTAGTTAAATTAAAACGTTCACCAAATTATTCGGTCTCCGGACCTGTCAATTCACCCGTCCTCCGACTAGGGCTAACCGCGCGTCCGCTTGAATTTAACAGGTCGTTTCAAATACATGTAATAATGCCTCTGATATAAAGAAGATTTGTCTGATAAGATATCCGTCAACATTTTCTACCACTAAGTTGTCATAATTTTTTCTAATAAAAAAATTATTCGATTGCAGCATATAATGCAATACAACAAGCTAAATTCGATAATTTTTAAATTGTAATTTATTCTTATTTATGATGTACGTAGAATTATATATATGTGTGTGTGTGTGTGTGTGTGTGTGTGTGTGTGTGTGTGTGTGTGTGTGTGTGTGTGTGTGTGTGTGTGTGTGTAACTTATGTATATTTTAATCAGATTTAAATTTATATTTACCATAATAATGTTTTTGCAATTGTAATTAATATTACTCTGACGAAAATAAAAAGTTTCATGAGCGTTTTTTTGACGTTTACATAAGCGTTTGCAGCAGTTTGTTTAAAATTTAGAAACAGTCTTTAAAAAGTGTATAGAGCGGAAATTGCAACGCTGCAGCGCTTCAAAGGCGTTTGTATACAGCGTTTTTGACAGTTTGTACAACGTTTACTTAACGTTTAGCGTTTATTGACAGTTCTTAAAACATTTATAGCTCCTGTGTTAAGTGTTTAATAGACGTTTGCTCTCATCATTAAAAACTGCATACAGCTTGGTAAAAATTCCAGTCGAAACAGGTACGTACAGGTATACAGGATATACGTTATATTCATTTCTGATTGCTTTACTATAAGTTTTTTCCCCTGCAATTACGGATAGAAATAGATGAAAAGTGTTACAGTATATCAATAGGACTGTATACGCAAAAAACGATGAAGAAGGTTAGCCGTATCTAATTGATTCTTAACCGAACGTAATTATCTGAATCTATGCGTAAATCTGAATCTAAACGTAATTGCGAATTCTATCCGTTTCTTATTACAGTCGGTTTTCAAATTCTATCCGCATCTGATTGCGGTTGGCATTGCGTCAAAAAAATAATATGTAATCATAAAACTAAAAAAAATTTTTTTTATGAATTTGTGTTTACTATTTTACATATTTTCTACTAACTACTTTCTAATTTTATTAATTACAATTACGCAGAGGTTTACAATTTTTGAAAACGCATTGATGAGATTCGAACCTATGATCCCTAGAACATCAGACTTATACGCTAACGCTGAGCTAATGATTACTTTGCATAAAGGATTTAGGAAAAGCGTTGTAGAGTTGGGAAAAAAGTTTCTTAGGCGTTTTCAAATCGTTTGCGTAAACGCTCTATAAAATGTTCACTTCGTCTCTATAATTATCATATTAGATGAGCGTTTACTGAACGGAGAGAAAACATTTGTTTTACGGTATTGGAAAAAGCGTTTCTTAGGCATCTCCTAGCCGTTTGCGTAAACGCTCTATAAAATGTGCACTGTGTCTCTGCAATTTCTATATTGAATGAGCGTTTACTGAACGGAGAGGAAACATTTGTTTTACGGTGTTGGGAAAAGCGTTTGCTAAACGTTTACAAAGTCTAACAGCAAACTGTCTGCACGAAGGTATCAACGTTTAATAAGCGTTTTCTAAAAAATATTGTCTCAGCATTGCAAAACTTTTAAGAAAAATTATATATAGCGTTTCATAAGCGTATTGAAAGCATTCAAATTCAACGGCGTTGAATAAGAGTTCTTATAAAATTTGAAAACGTATAAACTTTTAAATAAAACTCTCATTAAACGGTAGTCAACGCCTTATAAAATTTCTTAGTTTCGCTAGGGTAATAGCGCGCGCGAAACGCGCGTCTGTAGTGCTAGTCTATGTAAAATGCGCATGCAATAATTTAGTATGTATAATAGTATCGTATAAAGATTATAGATATTGTGTTAAATCTTTTCAGCCTTTGTAACTTTTCTTTCACATAAATTGCAGGATCGCATTATTTTCCTTTAACGCATTTACGTCATTTCATGTAAACACTTAAATGTGATAATGAAAATAGTTACAAATGTGTATTTGTGTCAAAGTAAGTATGTATGTACATGAATTGTGAAAGAGAGGGTGTGATATCGTCTGCACTATTTTCGGCCACTTTTAATCTTTGTTAGCAATATGGTAGTATTACATATATGGTACATATCTCTCGCAATGGAAATCGCAACTGTACAAAAATTCTCATTCCGCGTCTGGGACGGCGATGACGTAAGCCATTTTTAAACTAAAATTTCCATATTTAGACTTTGCGTCGGAATATCTTCGTTTGTGGGGCATACAAAGAAAAAATAAAAACACTTTTGTCATGCAATTCAAACTTAAGCTATTGAGCCTACTTAAAAGTTAATCGGTTCAGTCGTTATTAAAATAATTTCGTCTTTAGTTATCGTTCGTTCGCATTTCTGTGCGTCGTATCCGCGTGACATTCAGGGTGATGGAGCCCCGCAAGAAC